TTATAAGCAGATTTTACTTAAATCAGACCTTATAAAGAGTATTTTATGAAGTTGCTAAGAAATTGAGGAACATCCAGTAGGTTTTATTCTAGTAATATAGTTTGTTGGAAAATAGAATTATTGGTCTCGAAATTTGAGAATATTTTAATCTGATCCCTATTCTGATACTAAAAGAAGTAATTTACTTTTAACAATACTCCAAACTTACTAGGAATCAAGAGTTCTAGAATCTTGACCTTTATTTAAAGATTGAAAATAAGGGCTCTTGTCTCATTGTAACTTGTTACATCATGTTTGGTTAATATCCCTGCTAGGCCTGCTCTTTACTGAAGCGAAATAGAGGACAGGCGGATCTGGGGGAGAAAGGGAGGGGGCCAGAGGAAAGGAGAGAAGGGAACTGCGGTTGGGATGTAATGTATGAGAAAAGAATAAATAGATTGCTTAATTAAAAAGAGAAAAGAAAATTAGGGTTCATGCAAAGTTGCCAAAGTAGCAAGATAACTTTCTTTGGAGCAAAGTTGGATTGGAGTGGGCACTTGTCAGGACTGACAGTGGACGTATGAGTGGGCTTCAAGAAGAAGAAGAATGTAGCATGTAGTTCTCTATTTTTAAAAATTATTTATTGTCTTCTTATTTTTTGAGTGTTTTATGCGCATAGATGTGCCTGATGTCATCGAAGGCCAGAAAAATTGTGTCAGATTTCCTGGAACTAGAGTCACAGACAGTTTTGAGCTGCATCTGTGGATGCCGGGAGCTGAACCTGAATTCTCTGTAGGAGCAGTCAATGTTCTTAACCACTAGGTCATTGCTCCAACCCCTACTTCTCTATTTTGCTTAGTAGTTTAGGTAATGTAATAATTTTTATTGTTCATGTCTCTTCCCATAATACATCTGATTTTAATCACATATATATCCAATTATGCAAAATGTGCTTAAATAAGATGGTAAATAAGTTACCCCTAAAGTCTACTTTAAATACATAGTTTACCTTACTGTGCATGCACATAAAACCAGTTGATGTAGGATCAGCCCTTCTGTTTTTCTTATTAAACATTGAGAATACACTTGAATAAAAGATGTCTAAATTTGATTGTTACTTGTAGTGGAGAAATCTGTACTGTTGTTCAGAGATGAGCGTATATGTAGCCAAGCAGGTTGGGATTCTAGGGGGATTCTGAGGTTGCTAGGTATGTTATTTGGAGAGGGGTGTGTATGTATAGTTCATGCAGGTAAAGTAGCTAGGCTTCCAAGTGCATTGTTACAAGAATGTGTGTGTATCTGTCTGTCTGTGTCTGTGGTGTGTGCAAAAGCTAGAGAGGGTTCCAGACTAAATTGCCTTCTATGTTTGACTGCTTTAAACTGCTTTGAACCTCATTCTGTGAATTGAAAATAATTACTCATCTCTGATCCATTTAAACTTTAATGTTAATCTTAATTTTTTTTCTTTTAACGGAAGTAGCTTACTGAGGTTTTTCATTTTAAATGTGAGGAGGAAAGCTTGTTCTGAGGCTCTAACCTTTGCAATTGTCCAGGTGTTGAATGCTGATGGAGAACTTACAAATGAAGATGAAAGAGAACTGGAAGAACTTAGAAAGCGTGGCATAACTCCTCTCCCCAAACCACCCCCAGGAGTCGGGCTTCTGCCAACCCCATCAGAGCACTTACCCTTTTCTGATACTGAAGACGATTTTGAGACAGATCTTTCTGATGATATGAAGAAAATTCCATCTCTTTTTGAAATAGTCGTAAAACCTACTGTGGATTTAGCACATAAAATTGGGAAGAAGTAAGTTAACACCACCAATATGGCAGCATTCTCCCCTAAAGCTCAACGTTAAGGTACCAAAGAGCATTCCAGGTCATTCACATGATAAAACCTAGGCAGGACAACAGTTACCTGGCCTGGTTTGGGGTTGCTGCTTCCCCTTTCTCTATGCCCTTACCCTTCTTCCTGCCCCCAGTGATTTTCTCGTGGATTTTGCACAACTTTAGGAGCTTTGCTGTATAGTAGCACTGGCAGGATGGATTTGACATTCCTTCTACTTACTTATGAGCTTACATTTTCAAATGGCTGATATGCTGGCTCCTATATTTGGTTCTGTCTGAAAATAATTTCCATAAGGTATTAGGAAAGACTCTGGGTAAGCCGCATCCAGTTTTCATTTTCCAGCAAGGCCATTCCTGTCCTGATTCCTGTCCTTTAGTGAAAGTATATCCAGGCCCCTGCTATTTATTATTCTTTAATCCTGAATGCCCAGAGAGGCAATGATACCTCAGCAGATGAGGAACAAGAAACTAGAGTAAATATCACAACTAACATGAGCCAGTAAGAGTATTTCAGTTAAAGTTAATGAGAAAGCCAGACATGGTGGTAGATGTGCTCGTGATGTCAGAACTTTGGAGTTGAGAGGTGTACTGTTTCAGTCAGGTTGACACAAGCTGGAGTTGTCTGGAACAGGAAACCTTAGAAAAGATGCCTTCATCACATTGGCCTGTAGGCAAGACTGGAGGGGCATTTGCTTGATTGTTTGGGAGGATATGGCCCATGGGAGTGATACCATCCTGGGGCTGGTAGACCTGGTTTGAAAGCAGGCTGAAGAAGCTATGGGAGCAAACAAGTAGAAGCCAGTGTTCCTCCATGGGCTGTTTCATTCCCTTAAGTTCCTGCCCAGCTTCTCTTCATGATGGACTGAGCTGTAAGATGGCGTAAACCCTGTCTTCCCCAGGTTGCTGAGGTCGCAGTGTGTATCACAGTGATAGAAAGCGGACTAGGACAGGAGACTGAAGTAGAAGGGTTGTATGTTTAGGGCCGCTATGGGCCATAGAGTGAGAGTTTGCCTCAAATTTTAAAAGGATAGGAATACCCACCATTTTGCCAATATTTATATCATAATCAATGAAGTAACTGAAATATATAAATATGTTAAGATTAGAATTGTAGTGGAAGACTCAGCACTGGGCAATTTCTCTCAGCAAAACCAAAAAATAAACCGACAAAGCTATTAGAAATGATAAAGTCAGCATTAAAAATGAAAACTTTTGTATGCCATCAACATAATAAGCTTCCATTGGAAATCATGATCAGAGTTATATGTATAGATAATAAGATTTTAATTTGATTGTAGACAAGTTTGTGCATATATAGAAAAATAGAAGAGTCTCCTAGTGCTTAGTTTTAAGTGACTTTATTTATATTTGCAGTTTTCTGTATTTTCCAAACAGCTGGCAGTGAACAGCAATTAAGAGAACCATATCTAAATGAAAGCAAGAGATGTGTGTTTTTAACCTGCCAATGATATGGAATAAGTAATCTCTTAAATACACAGGATTCTAATTGAACATAAAAGATCATCCTTGGGGGCTGGAGAGATGGCTCAGTGGTTAAGAGCATTGCCTGCTCTTCCAGTTTGATTCCCAGCAACCACATGGTGGCTCACAACCATCTGTAATGAGGTCTGGTGTCCTCTTCTGGCCTTCAGGCATACACACAGACAGAATATTGTATCCATAATAAATACATAAGTATTTAAAAAAGGATCATCCTTAACTATTATCTATTTAGGATTATAAGATTTTTGTTTGTCTCTTTGCTTTGAACTGAGAAATACTACTTTTTATTTTTGTTTTTTATGTTTATTTTGTTTTGTTTTTTCTACAGACCACCAGCATTTTACAGCAGTGCCTCATCACCAGGACCACAGTTTCAGGAAGGCAGTCCCTGTCCACAGCACATGTACAATTCTGAGTCAAGTCCAGATCCAGGACCTAATGTGCCTCAAGGTTGTGATAGTCCTGTGAGGCATCCAGGCTCCCCTGGACATCACCCATGTGTGGGACCTCCTGGTCCACCAGTGCACGAGAGTGCACCTTTGCCACCTGGTCCACCTGAAACTGTAAGCTCTCATAGTCAAGCTGGAGGGCTTACTCAGTTGGACATACTACCAGCTACAGGTAGAGCTTATCATTCCCCAAGCTTTCCAGGGCCTGCGATGAAAGTCCCTAGAGAGAACCATTGCTCTTCAGCCTCACTGTACCAGCAAATGCCTGGAGAGATGCAACTTAGCACAGACTCCGTGTCCCCACACGTCCCAGACGAGGGCTACGAGGACTACTACTCACAGCATGCTGCGCATAGTTTTCAACCGCCTGATAGCTGTGCTGGTAAGTCGAAGGCAACTCATTTCCAATTTCATTAAAATTGTGCTTTTCATTAAAAACATGCATTTTTAAGTTAAGTAAAATTGATGAAATTGAAACCTTGAAATGTTTTCAATTTCTTCAAAACTATAAGAACAAAACTTTAGCTAACTTTTGATGCAACTAAATTTCTGATAATATTTAAGAAAACAGAATTTAATATAGGCAGAGACTGCTTGTTTGATCCTAGCTTCCCAGATACAAATAATCACATAGAAACTATATTAATAACAACACTGCTTGGAGCCAGGCAGTGGTGGCATATGCCTTTATTTTTTTTAAAAAAAAAAGGTATTTATTTATTTATTATGAATACAATATTCTGTCTGTGTGTATGCCTGCAGGCCAGAAGAGGGCACCAGACCCCATTACAGATGGTCATGAGCCACCATGTGGTTGCTGGGAATTGAACTCAGGACCTTTGGAAGAGCAGGCAATGCTCTTAACCACTGAGCCATCTCTCCAGCCCTAGCATATGCCTTTAATACCAGCACTTGAGAGGCAGAGGCAGGCGAATCTCTGTGAGTTTGAGGCCAGCCTGGTCTACAAGAGCTAGTTCCAGGACAGGCTCCAAAAGCCACAGAGAAACCCTGTCTCAAAAAACAAAAACAAAATCAAAAACAAAAACAAAAGACAATACTGCTTGGCCAATGACTCAGGAATATTTCTAGTTAGCTCTTACATCTTGAATTAACCCATTTCTATTAATCTGTGTATCAATCAACATGAGACTGTGGCTTATTGGTAAAGGTTCTGGGCATCTATCTCCTTTGGCAGCTGCATGGAGTCTCCTTGACTCCACCTACTTTCTCTATATATCTCTGTTCGAATTTCCCAACTGGCTTCACTCTGCTAAGCCATTGACCAAAACAGCTTTATTTATCAACCAATAAAAGCAACACATATACAGAAGGACAGCTACATCATCTCCCCTTTCCTGACTAATTAAAAAGAAAGGCTTTAACTTTAACGTAATAAAATTACATATACAAAACTGTTATCAAGCAAGAATTATAGTTACAATTTTTTATGAGTCTAAAGTTTTATATTTAATTTATCTTTTATCATAACTAAAGAAAACTATAATTAAAACTATTTTTCTTTAACTCCATCAAAGACCCCAGAAGGAAATAATATTACTTAAGTAAACAGGAAGTGCAGTCAAGCAACTTCCAAAATTCTAGAATTGACTTAGACATCTTACTGCCTGGATAGTCAGCCGCTGTTCTTCTGTACCATTGGGGCATCCATCTTCAGCCTACAGGCCCATAGTATCCAGCAGACTCTTCTGTGAAATAGGAAATTTGAAGATCTGTTCTACCTGTATTGGCAGTTTGTCAATCACTTTCTTCTGCCCTGCAGAATATCTGGCAGTTAAGTGATCTGTACAGACACAATACCTTAAATAAGATTAGAAATATATATATATATATATATATATATATATATATATATAACTAAATTGACCTTAAAATTTGTATTAATACACCAAAGTCCATACAAATGTAAAGTACTTATATCTATATTATATCCCCCTTTAAATGAAAACAAACATTTATAAACAATCATTTTGGGAATTTGAACATAGTTTACTCCAAATAGTTTCCTGCTTTTTGTTGGCGTGCCATTTGTTGTCGGTGACTGCTCATTTGTTCCTGGCTGCCCAGACCCGAATAATCACACAGAAACAATATTAAGGACAACACTGCTTGGCCAATGACTCAGGCGTATTTCTAGAGAGCTCTTACATCTTGAATTAACCAGTTTCTATTAATCTGTGTATTGTCACAAGGCTGTGGCCTACCAGTAAAGATCTGGGCATCTGTTTCCTTCAGCAGCTAAATAGCATCTCCTGAGTACACCTACTTTCTCTCTATATCTCTGTTCAAATTTCCTACCTGGCTTCACTCTGCTAAGCCATTGTCCAAAACAGCTTTATTCATTAACCAATAAAAGCAGCACATATACAGAAGGACATCCCACATCAATTTAAAACAATAGAATTTAGGTATTTTAAAATATTTAATTATACAACTTAAGAACTCAATGTGGTAATTAGGAGAGATTCAGTCTCTTACACTTTGGTGGAGTTTGAGCTCACAGTGTCTCTTCTTTTATGTCTGTAGATGAGATGTGGCCTGAAGAATTTGCACCCCAGCAGCCTCCCACTGCCCATGACTCTTCTAACCTTGGGGGTGGGCCTGACACCAGCAGCAATATGACAGGTCACTGCCCTCTGCCTGCCTCAGGGCTCCCTCCTGCAGTACAGAGAGCTCTTTTCATCCGATTGGCTCAGAGATACCAAGAAGAAGAAGCAGCTGGCACCCAGCCTCATAGAACATCAAGCAAGGAAGAAGGTTTAATAGGTTAGATGTGAAAATTAGTTCCTCTGCGCCATCACCTTCCAGTTTACCTTGTAGCCTTCGTCTTTTAACTGTTCCTGGCTTCAGTGACAGGCTTTAAATAGCAGTTGCAAAGTTTACATTTATACACAAGCATAAAAAAGATGGCAGATAGAATAGTCTTTCTAAAAAGTTTACTTGAAATAAAATAGTCTTTCTAAAAGTTTACTTGAAAGTCACAGTTTGCCTTACTGTGCATGTCCTAAAACCAGTTGATGCAAGATGAGCCCTTCCTAAACATTGAGAATACACTTGAATAGAAACTATCTAAATTTGTTTGTTACTAGGAGTGGAGAAATCTGTACTATTGTTCAGAGGTAAGAGTACATGTAACCAAGTAGGTTGGGGGGATCTCTTTTAGTGACTATACTAAGTTCAGAAATAGTATTACTTTTAGTCTTAATTAAGGTCACATATGAATGTTTTGTTTTTGACCACAAGCTTCTGTCTTCCTTTAGACGATACAGTTAACTGGTACTCCAGCAGTGAAGAGGAAGAAGGAAGTGGTGTCAGGTCAATACTGAGAACATTACAGAAACAAACAGGAACTCTAAGAAGTCAGAAGCACCCTCCCCCAGAGCTTGGCATTCCTACTGATCCAAGACTTGCTAAAGAGAAGAGGAAAGGAAGTCAGGTGGTTGACCCTAGGCTTCGGACTGTCCCAAGGCAAGACATTAGGAAGCCTCATGAGTCTGTCCCAGTGGATCTTAGACTTGCATGGGACCCCAGGAAATTAAGAGGGAATGGAAGTGCTCCTGGAGGCTCTTCTGCTAGTGGAGCAAAGTGTGATTTACATCTTGCAAATGCTGGTACGAATCGCAAACCCAAAAGAAGAGATGATGATGATGAAGATACAGAACGAGAACTGAGAGAAAAAGCCTTCTTAATACCTTTGGATTCTTTACCTGGAGTAGTACTCCAGGATCCAAGGCAACAGTTAAGACAATTCAGTCACATTAAAATGGACATTATCCTAACCAAACCCAACTTTGCAAAACACATCGTGTGGGCTCCAGAAGACTTACTTCCAGTACCTTTACCTAAACCTGATCCAGTATCTTCAATCAATTTACCTCTGCCTCCACTTATAGCTGACCAGAGGCTCAGTAGGTTATGGAATACAAAAAGTGACCATCAAAGTACCCTGTCCCTTGATCCAAAATCAGCAGCCAAAGCCAAAATGAATCTAACACAGAGAGAGGGTTACTTAGAACAATGTGCAGACTTACATAGTTCAGGAGGTAAATTAGGAGACCCTAGGCTGCAAAAGAATTTTGACCCTAGGCTTCACAGACTGCCCAATACAGAGTCACATCAGGTGGCTATAAAGGACTCACATGTATCAAAGAGTGGCCCAAACTTAGCCAGATCAATCCCTGCTTTGTCCCAGCCTTCAACAGCATTACCTACCAATGCTGGTCCTGTGGCACTTCCTCCATATGCCCCCAAACTGTCTTCTTCAGCTGGCCCTCCACTGGGAACTGCAAGTTCAGTTCTTAGTGGTATTAGTTTGTATGATCCCAGGGAGAAGGGTTCATCCTCTTCATCAGAGCTAGCAGCCATTTCCTCAGAAGAAAATGCAGAGAACCTGGAAAAAAGTGGTTTAAAGAATAGTGATAAAAACGACCCTTCCCCTGGAGAAGTGATCCTACAGAAGTCTCCTGCAGACACGGAAGTCCCTGGTGAGGAGCCAGTTGACATGCAGGCAGATACTCTGAGGAGTGCTGATAAGGTCCAGGTTCCCGCTCTGCACAGTCTTCCTATTCAGGCCTTAACAGGCTTAATTAGACCTCCATATAGTGATCCAAGACAGGCCAGAGAGCCAGGACAGGGAAGCCCAGCCCCAGATGATGACAAGTCTCTGAGAGAGGTTTTTAAGACATTTGATCCAACTGCGTCACCATTTTGTTAGCTGTTGTGTAATTAAGCTGTTGCCACCCTCTCACAGTTCTCTGCTGTTTTGTAACTGGTTTACCTCTATAGTTTATTTATTTTTTAAATTATAAGCATTTTTCAGCTGCTAGTATCAGAACCACATGAACTTATATCCTCTAAAGTCTGTGGTATTTTATATAATATTTTTATAACTTCAAGAGACTGTAGTATAGAAATGTATATCATGTTAGCGTTAGTAAAAGTTTTTTTTTTTCTTTTTGGTTTTTGAGACATGGTTTCTGTGTAGCTTTGGAACCTGTCCTAGGATTAAAGTCGTGCACCACCACCACCCAACTAGTAAAAGTACTTTTTTACTTGTAAGTGAACTATCATGAACTCAACACTCAGCCCAAGTAAATGCCAGTTGTCTTTCATAATCAATGTTTAGGTTAACAACTAACACTTTTATATGGTTGTTTAGTTTCAAGCAATATGATATACATTAATTTTGAGAATCAGTATTTTAACTAGGATCCTCTCTGCCAGCACAAAACTGATTAGTGTGTAATGCCAACTGCTAAGTAAAATGCAAGGTGAAAACATTTAAAACCATAATTAGCTCAGCTCGTGTTTAAGGGCGTCACTTCATTAGCATTGGCAACACTGTCTGTGTACATGAAGCACTTGAATGTTGTATCTTTTAAAAGTATTTTATTGTACACTGTATCATAGAAGCTGAAGGAAATAAATAAGATGTTTTGCTACAGTAAAAAAGTCCCAGGTTCTGTAACAGAACTTTTAAAATTTAATTTTTCATATTAAATAGTTATGAGTTTATTGCTGTGTCACATTGTGATAATAATGTATGTATTCCAGTGTTTGGTCTTTAGCTACATAATTTTTATCTCTTTCAAATGATGTAACTGCAATAATTGTGTTCATTATGACTGACAATTTTTAACAGTTTTCAAAGTGAGACTGTAGTAATTATTAAGCTGATAATGTTTTAAATGTCTAGTTTCTGTATTTTTTCTTGCATAGCAAAAACTTCCACTGAGATGGCAGATATATTCCACTGTATAGGGTACCAATAAACAATCTTTTAGATCTCACTTGACTGGTTCTATAGCAGAGGTCACCTGTGTTCTAATTATTTAATGTTCTCATAGCTTAGAAATTTAAATTGATTAGAAATTGTATTTTATGAAAAGTAACTTGTATTCATTTTTGTGTATTCATTGATGAGTATAGACAATGACACCTGTGTTTTATGCTCTAACTCATAACTCAGAGTGTTACACTGGCATGGTCTCTTGAACTGCTGGCATATGGCAGTGTTTGCTGGGATGCCTCCAGTAAATCGCTTGTAAAGAATTTTTTATGAGACAAAGGAGGTAATAGCTCCAGTCCTAAGTTAAAGAGAGCACCCACCGAAGCCATTTTCACAGTTCACAGCAAAGGTTTTTGTTTCTGTTTGTTGCCTAAAATGGCTCTGGATAACAGGGTAGGATTAAAGATACTGTTTAAAGCCACCATAGAAATCACTTTCTGACTTACTGTTCAAATGAACTTTACTGTTAATATTGAAAAGTCAATAAAGTAGTTAAAACTGACAAAAAAGTTGTATCCCAAAGTAGTACAATTTCCTTTCATTGGAATTTTTTACAAATCAATAAAATATCTAAATTTTAGTGGATCAGAAATCGCAACAAATTTTTAGTTCCACTCATGCATTTATCCTTCTTGTTGAATTAGTAATAATTCTAAATATACAAAAAAAGATAATTTGGCTTGTTGAACATGAAACTCTTAACGAAAGCTCTGTTTTTTTAAATTTCTGAAAAGGAAATTAAATGGATAATTTAAAAGTAGGATTTAAAAGTTATTAATTCCAATAATGGAATATTTGTTTACTCATTTCATTGTCTCAGTCACTGTTCTGTTGTAAAAAGACAACATGACCAAGGCTTGTCTTAACAAAATAAAACATTTAACCCGGGACGTGCTTACAGTATCAGCATGGCAGGAAGTATGGAGGGGGCATGGCAGCACTCAAGGTGCCGGAACACAGCTAAGAGATCCATCCTTGTCTGCAGGCCAAGAGAAGGAAGTGGGCTCGGCATGGGCTTTTGAAACCTTGAAGCCAGCTCCCAGTGACACCCTTCCTCCAACAAGCCATGCCTCCTAATTCTTCTCAGCGCCCCACTGCCTGATGACTAAGCATTCAAATATATGAACCTATGGGGGCCATTACTATTCAAACTGCCACACTCATTTATGGATGTCTATTATATCAGTTAGTGCCCTAAAGACTATTTTACAAACAAATTTAATTTTAGTTGCAGGTTTGGCAATATAGTTTATATGAAAGTATTTTGTGTTTAAAATGGGGCTTTTAATATACACAAGTCTTTGAGATTGAGATACTAAATTACGGTGTATTGTTCAGAGCCCATCAACATAGACTTGCTTAATCCCCCTTTGTTACTATCTCACAAAAAGTGTAACAAATTCCTGCTTCTCCCAGTGAGTAAGCCCTTCTTTAAAGTGGGTTGCATTGGGGTTTAAAAATAACTTTCCCCATAGACTTAGATATTTGAATACATGGACCCAGCTGGAGCCGCTTTTTGAGGAGGTGTGGGCGATGTGTTCTTGTTGGAGGAAGTATGTCTCTCGTGGCTGGCTTTGAGAGTAAAAAAGACTCACCTACTTCCAAGTTGCCCGTTTCATGCTTTGAAGATGTGACCTCCTGACTTCTGCAGCTGTACCCACCTGCTCTAATGCCTCCCTACCGTGTTGGACTCATGCTTCTGGAACCACAAGCCAGGATAAACTCCTCCTTTTGTATATTACCTTGGTCATGGGGTCTCATCACAGCAACAGAGAAGCAGCTGATGGAGTTGGTATTTTCAGAATGCGTGGAATTTGGTGTATACGATCACAGTGAAAGTAAGTTCTGCCCTGTTCTTAGAAGCTTCCCATTCCCAGACAACAGAAACAAGCTGTGTCTGGAAGACTGCATAGTCGCTTCTGTTGTGATGCATTGAACCTTCCTGCTGGGTCTCAGAATTCATACTTTGGTTGGATAGAGTACGAATCAGGCCATAAAACAGGAATAGCAACTGATCATAAGAATTTAGATATGTCAACTATTTTCCTATATCTTGCTTAGAACTTTATTCTGAACTTTGAAAGCAAATCAGATGTTGAAATGGTTTGTTTCACTCTTAGGTACTTGACCCCATTTCTGTATGGAACCTCCATGTTTACCACCCTGTACTTGAAACCCCAGAACTGGGCTGCAGTAAAAAGAGCCACATTATGTGATGATGTGTGCTTCGGGTTTTGTATTTTGTTTTGTCTTTTAACTTGCCTTAGTTTTCCAGACCTTAGTGCTCCTGCTAGTTCTGTTTATTTCAAGAATAAGAGAACAATTGAGTAGGTAAGTCTTGTTTCAACTGAATAGCTATGGGGCTGGAAAGACAGAACTTTTGAAGGTCTCAAAGTCTCAAAGGACAAAGGAATTCTCTTTCTTGTTCTGAATTGACTTCTGAGCTTTATGTCAACGTCTAGTTTCTTATCTGTGATATATAAATAATTTCAACTATTTCTAGGTTTGAGGGAGGGAGGGAATTGTTTTTTGTAGCATATTTGTAAATATAAAATTGCTTTCTGTATATCGTAGACACAATCCCTACATTCCTATCAGTGTTTTTAAGTTATTACAGGTTGTTCCAGAACAACTAGGTGTGACCTGTGTGGTTTACCGATTTTATGAAGCTTTAGATTTGCACTGAAATCATAAGAGAATTACCTGAGATGTTGTTTCCAAGAATACTACCTACCATGCTAGCAAGTCTTCAAATGGTAGTGTGTAAGAAATACAGAACTTTTCTACCATAGGTGTATAGATTTGTAGTTTGTCATAGGGATCTGATCTGCCCAGTTCATACATGATGGCTATCGATGGAAGTCACCAATTGCTCTGCTGCTGGGCCATGGTGTGTGTCTGCTGAAACAGCATGTGAGGGTGGGGTGGACATCTATTCAGTATAAAAGCCATTGGTTCTTAGAAACAGCAGAGATACTGGCTCAGGTGGGCATGTGACCAACCTGTTTATTCATGAGTTGTTCATGTTTTAAATGTAAAATGTGTTAGAAAGAATGAAAATATACTAATGCATTATTAGTGTCAGCTCTTCACTGATCAGTCCCCATACTTCTGACTCACTGTTGATTTTATACAAACAGCTTTTGTTTTCTTTCAGTGCCAGGATGGAACCTAGCGCCTCAGCATACCAGGCAAGAGCTGCCACTGAGCTCCACTTCCCAGCCCTTCACTATGGATTTAAGTATCTTTAAGGATATTAAAGTTGGAAAGAATATTAAAGCTTGCGTTTTGTTAGTGTACTTTGAATGTAACTGGCCCCCATAATCTCATGATGGAATGACACTATTAGGAGGTGTGGCTTTGCTGGAGTGGGAATGGCCTTGTTGGAGGAAGTGGGGCTTCCTATGCTCAGGATACTGCCCCTTGTGTCAGTTGATTTCCTGTTGGCTGCACGATGTGGACTCTCAACTCTCTTCAGTACCGTGTCTGCCTGCATGCCGCCATGCTCCCCGTCATGGCAATGATGGACTGAACCTCTGAAACTGTAAGCAAGCCCCCTCAATTAAATGTTTTTTATAAGAGTTGCCATGGTCATGGTGTCTCTTTACTGCAATAAAAACCCTAACTGGGGGCTGGAGAGATGGCTCAGTGGTTAAGAGCATTGCCTGCTCTTCCAAAGGTTCTGAGTTCAATTCCCAGCAACCATATGGTGGCTCACAACCATCTGTAATGAAGTCTGGTGCCCTCTTCTGGCATGCAAGCATATACACAGACAGAATATTGTATACATAATAAATAAATAAAAATAAATGAATAAAATTTAAAAAATTTCAAAAACCCTAGCTATGGCAATACCTTGTCAGCAAGGTTTTATCCATAATAATTTATTATAAAGAAATAAACACATAGAGGCCGAATTTTTAAACAGTAACACTTTTTCCCTGGATCCCCATTGCCATCGTGCCTTGGCATCGTTGCTAGTCTTATTTTGTGTGCTTTTAAAGTCAACACAAAGGAGAGCATGATCACCCACTCAAGAAGAGGGTGTCGCGTGCCTCCATTTTACAGTTTTTCCTCCAGGTGCTTAAGAGGGAAGTTAAGAAAGAAGAGTTTTTAAAAAAAAAAACAGTATACTGCCTTGTAAATAAAAATAAAAGTCAAGAAGTAGTCATTTGTATATTGACTTGACAAAATTTAAAACAGTTTTCCATTGCTTATGCTGCACACGGTGCCCCAGCCACCTCACTCAGAAAGGGGTTCAGCATAGATCCAAGGTTCAGAATTCCACAGCGCTTCCATGCTTGCATAAGGCAGGGCCTTCGGTGGCCTGTGCCCGAGGTATCCAGACTTGGTGATGGGTTTGCTATCAGATGCACTAGCACGGTCTGTCTGGGCTGAAATCTGGGTTATACCTACTCAGGATGAAGTGAAGTGTTTTGTTTGACGTTTCCAGTGTGGTTATTTTATTTCCCAAAATTGTATGTCAGATTTTTGGGAAATTCTTCTATTTCACCTTGGAAAGTTTATCTATACCAATTTACTGGAACAACTACATTGCTAATCTGTTCAGAGAATACAGCAAGGGTGTGGTTTGCTGAATTGATAACTATAACATTAAGAGCTAACAAATCACTTGGGAAAAGGCAGATTATGCTGTTTTTTGGTTTTTGTGCTTTTTTAATTTACTCGTAAAATTTCTAACTAATATTCTCAACAGTGGCACTGTTACAAGTTTTTGTAGTATTTTTTTCTGTGTTATCTGAATTTAAAAGCATCTCTAATGGTGTGCATCTGGAAGTGTGCTGTTTTGCTCTAATTTCAACATTTCAAGGTAAGGGAGCCATGAGCACATACAAGAGTTTGTAAATGGGGATCATCCCAAGGCTTCCTAAAAAGGGAACACTGCCCTTCAGCAAATCCTTTGTTCAGGGAAATTATGCCCTATCTAACTACAGACTAGCAGCACATATGGCCCTGTTTCCCTGCTGTTTTCATTCTAGG